ACACGCATGCGTGCAGACACAATGTGCTTAGCTCACTGCTCTCCATCTCCTCTCATTGCAGGGGCGCATAGGTCACTCACACACACCCACTCCTCCAGCCAGCCCCTGCAGTGCAGTGAAAGCTGCCAGAGGCAGATACTTCCACGCGGGGGAGCAGGGGTTGGAGGGGGTTGGGGATGGGTGGCTTTTCTCCTGACTCCTGCCTGCTTCCCCTGTGTCCTACTACCTCTTGCTCCAGTCAGGTTTGACAAGGTGCTTAGGGCAGATTAATATTAATTTCGTAGGTGCCCCACGGGCTAGACAGAATGGCTTGGCTGGCTGCATTCAGCCTGCAGGCTGTATTTTGCCCGCCCCTGTTGTACAGCATCACACACTTGTGTGCAATGAGCTCCCCCTGCAGATGCAACCTTCTGGCCAAAAAAGGCTGCCTACCCCAGATATAGCTGAACTCAGCCAATCAAAAGTGGCAAGTTTTATGCTAGATAACGTAACCTAAACTAAGATGCCAAAGATATGGTCTGTAGGCTGATTCAGCTTGTGCAGCCCCATTATCTGGCCCCTGAGTGTGCAGTAGACCCACAAGCTGCATGCTGGACTGGCCTCAGGATGCACACTGCAACACAGTGCCTGCCCTGGCCACTCTAGGAGTGGTGCATCAACACCTCTCCCCAAACCTGGGCGCCTTGGGGGAGTGGACCATATGCACCATGTGTCCCAGACTGGCCAGACTGCTATGTGCAGCACAGTCCTAGATCTGCCCAAGTGCCACGTGTCAGATCTGGCATGCAAGTAGGGCTGATGTCCATGGGCCTGATGACTCAGCCATGCACCACTGATCTGGCCCACAGACCAGCTCCATGCCACTCATCCAGCCCATGAGGCCAGATGAGTTTGACACCACTGACCTAAATTACTGGAGGCCATAGCTGGGGACAGCTCTCTGACTAAGGGTCTTTTACAGTCCTGTATTTTTGAGGGTGAGCTCATGCCTTGCTGCTTCAATATGTTCCTTGATTTATGGGCACATGAATAAATTAAGCAAAGCTCAATGCAGAGCTGGAGCAAATTGCCCCTGAGGGCTGTGTACAGATAGCTAGACTGGGAATTTAAGGTGTGAGAAATGCAGCCCTGATTTATCCAGAGGAAAGCTGCCACTCTGGGACAATCACAGCAAGGGCTGCTTCATGTGTTCACAGCTGCTTAGAACTGGAACAGCTTGACTCGCCATTGGCTCATCCATGTGCCCAGAACACAGATTAGTTCTGACAGATGTGAACCCCCCCCCCCCCCCAACCACACCTCACCCCCCCCCCCCCGAAACAGCACTTTACCAGAAGAGGAATTGTGTCAGTATGACCTAGCTCCCAGCATCTGTATAGCTCATGAGCTTCAGTGGGGCTTTTTGGCGCCTTTATCTACAGCTGATTCCATCAACCTTGCTTGAAGTGCGCGAACTATACAGACACCAGGTGAGTCGGGTCAAACTGATGCAACTCTTCTTCTGGGCCTGTGCTGTACTCGGCATTGGGGTGCACCATGCTGAAAGTAAAGCACTGTTTTGCTTTTTTTCCCCCCACACATCTGTCAGCACCCGAAATGATACCCATAGAAAAGAGACATGATCTGTATGCCCGAGAAATATCAATCTCTGTTTTACTTCATACCTGAATTTGAGAAGCATGTAAATCCATGGTGATTATATGATCTGCACCTGCCACAGACAGCATGTTTGCAACCAGTTTAGCAGAGATTGGGGCTCGACTCTAGTACCAAGAAAAAGCTGTGTTAACTTAGAAGACTGCAAGCACATTTGATTAAAAACCTCTGTATATTTCAGTCTCCCCACCAGGGTATGAATCACTGCTTCCTAGAAAGAACCCAGAAACCTAGTTATATTCCTTAGGATAGAATGCTAGCTACTAAAAAAAAAAAAAAAAAAAATGCCAATTTTTAGGAGTACCTGATTCATCATCCAACAATGAATACAGCTTTGGTCCCATCAAAAAAAGGACTAAACATTTATACGAATCAAGATAGCATCTGCAATTCTGCTAATTGGGGGGGGGGGGGGGGGGGGGGGGGCGGACACAAACACGGGGGGGGGGGGAAAGCTGCCAAATCCCACGCTTAAAAATAACTTCTCCCTCCAAATTATGGAACTGCACAAGCAGGCCATCTAGTGAACTGGGCAGAACTGTATACCTAGCTGGGGACCAGATATTTGACCAAAGAGGAATTCCATAAAGGAACATATTTGTTTTGCCCTACCTTGTCCTTTTTGTCCTGACGTGCATAGGGGAAACATGGTATGACTGCTGTCACACGACTAGCCGATGCGATCTTACAGGCATTTATCATGATGAGAAGCTCCATTAGGTTGTCGTTGATTTCCCCACAACCACTCTGCACAATGTAGACGTCTTCCCCACGTACACTTTCGCCTATTTCCACACTAGGTATAAGATGGAACAACAAAGTTAACGTGCGCTTTAATTAAAAACATAAGATACAGCAAAGAACAGGGGGCCATAATCCCAACTGGGGACTCTGGTGACCACCACAGCAAAATCAAAGGAGACAAGTGGACTGTTTCAGCAATCTCAACAGAAACACAACCAAAAGAAATGCTCTACTGCTCATTTGCTTGGTCACTGAATTGTACATTACTCGTGAATCAAGTAAAGCAATTCAACTGGTAAAGCAAGATGTATTCTGCCCATAATTTAAATCTCAATATAATGTGTATAGATTTGCCCTCCTCAAGGAATACTTCTGATTGTAAGGAGAGAATGGAAAGTCATAGTAAAGTGAAGCTTGGTAAGTCAAATATAAGGAGGGCAGATTTGTATCATATTCCATTACCTGGGTTAGCTTTGGTGACTCCTTTATTAGTATGGGTTTACTGCTTGTTTGCTGTCTCTCCCAGCACTGCCCCCATGTTCCCTCTCCCCACTCACGTCTTTTGTACTATAATTGCACTCTCCTTATACTCGGCTCTCTGCATGTCCTTTCACAACAAAAGCTTGTGCTGTACTCATCTGTACTTACCTCTACTTTGGTTAGTCTTTAAGATACAAGACTACCTTGCCTTCTGTCAGGAATGAACAACAGCTTTAGAGACATTAATGGGGAGACCTGCACCAGCAACACTGTGGGAAATAAAGCAGTAGCCCCTACATAAAACCTGAAATGTGGGGCCAGGTCTTTGTAGCAACAGATTAACAAATGGAAACTCTGACAGGGCTCAATTTAGAGGACAAGCCAGCCTTATCATCACCAAAGTTCCAAACATGTAGCATGGATGGAGGAGGAAATGGGCTGACTTCTCTCATCATCTTGAAATACCAATATTCTAGAGGTGTCTTTGCTGTTTGGCTGCCCTAGCATAGGTTACCACTAATGGGTAAAGAGCAGCAAGATCATGCAACTTGTGCTGATATCAGTTTTATTTTAGAGACTGGGGGAGATTATTTTAACAGAAATTAATTTTTCTGTCCATCTCCCTCACCGATCCCCAAACTGTCTGCTTTTAATGCCGATCTTGCACCAAGGGTTTGGTTGATAGAGCTACACTAGCAACTACTCTTATAAAGAGCATTTATAGCAGCAATTAAGTGATTTTGCCAATAGAAGTTATCCAGATTCCCTCAAAAGAATAAGTTAAACCAGTAAAAGGACTCTCTGTGTCACTATAGTTGTATACACTAGCACTTTTATCAATACAGAAATGACAACAACAATCACACTCAAGACTGCTACACAGGCCAAAGTTTCTAGCGTGGAATTAGCCTAAGACACTTTTATTGCTGTAAACTTTAAAATCAGGATAAGTCGTGGGATTTTTTTTGGTAAAGCCCAAGGAAGTATTGACTAAGTACCTAATCTTGCCTTTCCAAGTAAACCTTCGCATTACAGCCAAGGAAGAAACAGTATCAGTGTTAGCTCTTGCATGTTCAGCATTATTTGCTAACATTAAGAGTCTGACCAGCCAGCTGGATGGATAAAAGTGCACAATGAATGGTTGTAAGGTCACTGTAATGACACCAGCTGTAGTTTAGTAAACAGACTCCTTTGCAAGTCTTATCTAAACCATTTTGCCCTACTCGTTGGGTTTTCAATTACAGCATATATTTATGCAACGGAAACATATGCAATGTTTTTCCTGATGTAGTATTACTGCAGTCCCATGGACAAGAGGATTCTATCCATAGGAGGAAGTAGTTGCTGAACACAGTAATTATTGTCATGTGAACAGGCTATGCAGAGAAAAGCAACACAGTGATTTCCTACTGTTCCAAACCAAGCTTTTTATCATGGCAAGTTAACCGTGTAAGCCCGGTTCCCCAAACTTAGGCTTGGCCTCTTCCAGCAAGATGGAGATGATAGAGAATATATATAAGAAATTACTAGGAACTGCATGTCTCATGGTACAAATAGGCACCAAAGAGTTTCAATTTTTCATTGTCAATAGTCCAGGCTTTTAAAAATAAAGAACTTTAAGGCATTTAGCAATTCAAAATGAACTGCCCACATTCAGTTCACAGGGTGAACCCTTAGTTGGTATACTGGCAAGCAGGCAAACAGACTGCTTGCCTTGGATTTTTTACTTTAAGTGGGTAAAAAAATCCACGTGATGAATTCCCATTATCCTATCTGTAATCCAAGACATTATGAACCAAACTGGTTCTGGAATCTTGGTAGTAGGATACTGGATGATATCCTCTTTGTTACAGTCAGGGCTCTCCAAATTGCAGCCTTTGGGCTCCCAGGTACTGCTCCCCCTATTGTTCCAGCTGCACCAGAGGATCCAGGCTTCCCCTCCGTGCCCAAAGGCACAAGATGGTACAGCATGAGAGTCTGCATGCCAAGGTTGCCTGAGTGACATGAGCAGTGGGGGAGCCCATGGCTGGGGAGTGATGGGCGAGTCAGGACACATGCTGCAGCAGGGAAAGGTGCCTGGGCACACAGTGAATCAGCAGAGTGGCATGTGGTGCAACACTGTGGCACAGTGCAGTGGGGGGTGGGGAAGAGGCAGGTAAAACTTGGATTCCAAACTCTGCTGGGAGAAGGGAGACCCAGGCTGGCAAAGACTACCATCACACTGATGGTCTGTGTCCCCACAGAGGGAGCCCCAAAGTGGTGAAAAACAACTGCATTGTCCTAAGAAGCAAAGAGGGATCAGGGGATGGGGACGGACCCAACAACTTTCCCTGAATCTGTGGCTTCAGGATGGTTAGCCAAGATGCCATTAAACCCATGGAGGAAGCTCACCTCATCTTTTCTCTGCAAAACTTATTTTATGACCAAGTAGCAAACTTCCAACAGGGCTGTTCACACTTTTTCAAAACTTGTTATAGCAACAGCTAAAAGGCAGAGTGCTTTATTGAAGTGTTAAAACCACTGAACAAATCCCTGGCTTTCAGATTAACCCTGGGACTAGCAAAACATCCTGACACACTCCTGTAAGCATATCAGAACAGGCCTGTCTTTTGTAGCTGAAGTGAGGAGAGAGGTTCATGGCTGCAGACCCATGGCCTCCACCCCAGCCCAATCTAGCTATACATGACGCGCCACAACCCTCATGCTTCACCTTCTTCAGAAGCCTCTTCCCTGGGGATTGAGTTACCAGCTCCCACGCAGCAAGATTCTTTGAAGCAGCAGCTGCCAGCGTTTCACCACCTGCCGCCCCACAGCCAGGGGAGGGAGGACCTGCCCCCGTCTCTCTCTGTCCTCAACCCCTAACTCAGAACAGGGAAGCCACCGGGATTTGGACGGTGGCAGAAGAGGCTGGCGACCAACGGGGCATTGTTAGTCGCCACAACTGCATCATCCAGGGCTGCTCCAGTTCCGGCTCGCGGGCCCAATGCGGCCACAGCTCGGCCCGTTAACACTCCTCCCCCCGCCCCAAACACCGCGACGGGCCAGGAACCAGGCCTGCCCCCCGCGTGCCCGGCGCCAT